GGTGCGCCCAGCACACAGTAAACACTCAATTAACACACTGCTGGGTCCAGGCTGTCCGTGGCCACACACAGGTCCAGGCAGATGAGGACTGAGAAGCAGCAGGTGGCTCGGCCGTCGGGAGGTCCCTGGTGCAGCCTGGACAGTGTGAATGAATCCTGAGGCTGGGTGTGTGCGCCTGTTCATTCATTTATTCCCACTGTGAGTCCATCCACCAGTGAGAAGCTCTAACCTGGGACTTGGGAGCTGGGGGCTTCCCTGTGTCCCCCTACTTGGGACTGATCTTTACCAGGGTCCCTGTTAATACAACAAAGGGGGAAACCCAAACATCTTCAAGGACTCTCTAGGATCTGGGGTCAGGCCAGCTGCAGCATGGCTCGCCACCAGCCACCCTCGAGACCTGTGGCCAGGCCAGGATGTGGCTCAGCAACTCTTCATTCCTGCTGTAACCCTGGCCTCCATGTGGGTAGGGTACTTCCCCCCCCCATTGGTGTTGGATGTGGCCTGCAGGTGGGATGTTCGCAGGTACAATGCAAGCACACACTTCAAATGTGCCTGTGGAATTAGGCTCCCCATCTTGCATTTCTGGCATGACCACAAGAAAAGCTCCTTCAGGTATCTGCAGGTCCCTCTACCTGGTCCCCAAAACAGACCTGTGCAGAGCTGATTTGAACCTAGTCTAAATCTTGGAACCAAGTTATTCTACATCAGCGAACCCCAAGAAAATCCACAGATGAGTAATCATCATCACCATAATCACTGCTGGAATAATAACTGTAGTGGGATGGCTTGTTACACAGCATTAACAAGGGTCTTGCTGACTGATACACCAGGCTTTAAGACTATCAGTTGGTCACTGACTTAATAAGTGACTGAGGCTTTGAAATGCAGGGAAGCCTGGAAGAAGATGATGGAGGAGTCCAAAAAGCTTTGCTGCTGCATTTTCAGAGTCAAGGTCACAGCTTGTGGGTATTGCTGTTCACCTGAATTGACACGTTTCACCTTCATGAATCCCTCAGGCATCTTGAGTTAGTTCCTTGCCCTCTGCCTGGCACAGCCTCCTGTGCAGACCTTCAGTGCAGCGCTGATTATGCCAGTGCTGCCCCGAGGTGGGCAGAGCCCTGGGGGCTCAGGGAAAGGAAGAGACCTTTGGGGCTGGAGACCAGGCTTATGAGGGACAGAGGGATGTGCAAGGCACCATTATCCAGCTATGACACAGGACGCTCAAGGGCAAGGGGGACATAATCTGAATGTCCAGCTGCAGGATCTGGCTAAATAAATTGTCTCCTTGTGATGGAATGGGACACGGTTGTTTCAAAAATGAACACAGTGGCTGGGGTGTGGCTCAGCGATAGAACACGTGCTTAGCATTCACAATTCCCAACAGAACACCAAACACACACACACACACACACACACACACACACACACACAAAATGAAGGCAAGTCTCCGTATACTAATAGGAAAATTAATCCATGACTTCTATATAAATATACATACCTACATATAAACATATACGTGTGTGTATATATATGGGGTTTTTTTGTAATAATTATTACCTAAGGGTGGGTTTATAAGAGTCTTTCATCTCTAATTTACACACCAACTTTCAAATTACACACTCAAATTGAACAAGTATGTTCAATTGCAGTATTGTATTCATAACATGCAAAATTTTGAAAGAATTGGCAGGAGCAGGGGAACAGCATGTGCAAAGGCTCTGGGGCACCCACTAGCTTGGCTGACTCAAGGAACAGCAAGAATTCTGAGCTAGAGTGTGGAGGGAAGGTGGCAGGAGATGAGATCCCAGGTATAGGGCCAGGCTATGCAGGACCTTTTAGGTCACCCTAGGGACACTCACTTTTATCTCAAGAAGAGCTGTGGAAGGGTTTTAAACAAGGGAATCCTGGGATGTGATTTTATCCTTTAAAAAGATTGTTCCAACTACCAAGAGAATCCTAAGGCAGAGTGTGGCAGGAATGCAGATGAAAAATGGTCATGGCTTAGGCCAGTGTCACACAAAAAATGTGTTCCCCACGTGCAAGGTGAAACTGGAGTGGTCAGACAAAGGAAGAACACTCCACACCATGGCATGGGACACAGATGACAGGCAAGTGTTTGGCCAGCGGGCAGAGGTGGGGACGAGGAGGCAGCACCTGAGAAGGGCCATGAGAGCACATGTGCGGTTGCCAGGTGGAAGGAGGCTGCCACTGTCTGGACTTGGAATGTTCCCTGAAGGTCCACGTGTGGAAGGTTGTGGTCCTCAGTTTGACGCGATTGGGAGGTAGTGGACCTTTAAGAGGCGGAGCCTGGCGGGAGGAAGTTAGGTTATTGGGGGTGTGTCCCAGAGGGGGATTATGGGACACGGGTCTCCTGCTGACTCCCTGGATTCCTTGCCACCACGAGTGACAGCTGACTCTACCACGTGCTCCCACCGCAGGCCCCAAAGCAGCAGATGAACCACCATGAACGGAAGGCTCCCAAACTGTAAGTCAAGATAAACCTTCCTTCTGTTTAAGTTGCTCATCTGGAGTATTTTGTTCCAGTCACGGAAACCAGAGATTCAGACAGAGGGAAGCTCCGGACTCAGCTCAGAGGTCCTGGATGGAGGAGGACGAAGGGGAATCCCCCAGGTCTTGGAGGGGATCCCCTTGTGACCCTCCTGGGTCCAGCTTTTTCAAGCAGAAGAACCAGACTTCTCAAGTTCAAATCCCAGCCCCACTGTCCCCTAGCTGTGGGACGGCCCTGTGTCTCGGTCTCCTCATCTGTGAAGGTGGACCACGTCAATCAGGCTGGCCCATGGTAGGCGTCCCCTGAAGGTCCACTGGTGTTAGGGTCACCATCTTGATCACATCTGGTCAACCAGAAAACACCAGGAGAGGAGTCACGGGTGAGCTGGGGCGGCGACCAGCCTCCCTGGGAAGACAGCCCTTTGGGTGAGAAAACACCTGCAATAAGTCACCCCATGTGCCCGTCCCCCGGGAGCCTGGACTGCACAGTGGAGACTCCAGTCGTGCAGGGCAGAGGGTGAGCTAGTGGGTGGATCTGTGTCACACTCCCATGGGTGACCACCACGAGAGGCCACGCGGCTGCCGTGGACCTAACCCTGCCCATGCCCAGGACAGCTAAAGTGTTTGAGAGGCGGTGAGTACATAAAGACCACCCTGCGACACGGTGGCAAAGCTGTCCCCTCGACCTCTTGTAAACATTTCTCTAGACACAGCCGGAAGGTCCTCGGCATGGCCGCCAAGCCCTAGAGTCACAGGGTGAGCAAAGCCAGTCAAACAGAATGGTGGACGCCTCTGGGGCCCTGGGGCCTCATAAAAGAACCAGGAGGAGAGGCCGGAGGCCACCTGGGGGGCAGGAGCCACCCGGCTGACTCGCACACGGACACGGGCACTCGGCCCTGGGTGGACGCACTGGGAGGCGCCTACAGGTGGGCACAGGCCCCGGGAGCAGCTGCCATGTGCCGCAGCCACCTGGCCAGGGCACACACGCGGGCCCCGCTCGCTGTCAGCCCGGTGGGCAGCGCCAAGCTGGGATCCCCGCGGCCCTCGGGGTGGTGGGACGTGCATCCCAGGGGACAGGGAGGGCGTGGATCATGGACTCCGGGACCAGGACCTGGGCCAACACCCGGCTCTGCACCTTAGGAGATGGGAGACACCAGCTAGTGGGCGGCTCAGCCTCAGTCCTCTGCCCCCAGGTGGAGGTGAGGACAGCCCCCCAGGGGGTTCTCAGTGCCTGGGGCATGGCCCATAGTAACTGCTCAATAAACCTCCACCTCTTGTCCCCGGTGCCAGCAGCCTTGCTTACTAGTGACCTGGAGCTGGAAGCCGGGCCCCAGGTGCTCCACCAAATGCTTCAGGGACAGCTGCATGCAGCGACCCACAGGAAATGGCTGTGGGAAACAGGAAGCGGAGCCTTCCCTCTCCCAAAGGCCTGCTCCGGGGTCCTGGCTTCTTCCTGCGGGCGGAGGGACAGTGGGGGGCCTGTCACTCATCCCTCAGTCTCATGAGGACCACTCGGCACCTGTGCAGCAGGAATGTCACCACCCTCCATGACACGGGGCCAACTGGCTGCCCCATCTGCCTTTGATAACCGCGTGAGAGGGGAGACCACTGGACACCTGGCGCTCTCCATGTGGGGACAGTGCCCGTGCCTGGGCTGCTGCCTCGGCTTCCCCTGGCCTGACTCCAGGACCCGGCCCTCCCCCCATCTCCAGGCCACCTGTTTCTCTTGCGGGCTCTTTTAGGGGGGTAGACAGGTGGGGAGATGGCCAGCCTCTCTGTCCCCACGACAGATCCCCCTCCAGTATCAAGGTACTTCTTCCATACTCAGAGACTCCCTGACTGAGCTGGTCACAGCATTTTCCAGCATAAAGACCACATTTCCCAGCCTCCCTTGCAGCTGAGCACAGCCCTGTGTTAAATTCTGGACACGGAGATATCCACAGGTATATCTGGGCAACGTCTGGGAACCTTACAGTTGATCTGCAACCTTTGCCCTTCCTCCACTGTATTGCCTGGAATGCAGATGCTATGGCTGGCGCTCCAGCCACCCTTTTAGACCATGAAGACAAAGACCACGAGGGTGATGTGGAGACACAGCAGGAGTCCAGGTCCTGGGGACTCAGAGCAGCAGAAACCTCTCAGACTGGCCCTCCCCACACCTGTGAGACAAGAGGGGCCAGACATCTGGTCTCCATCTTCTGGGAGCAAAGCCCCAGCAAGAAGCAAGGCCCCAGAACTGTCTGAACTCCACTTCTAACACCCATCCTGCCTCCTCCAGGGTCCCAGAGTGCCCCGGATGGAAGAGGGCACCAAGGACCCAGGGTACCCCTTGGGGCAGGAGGACAGATGGTCCTCCCGCACCTGCCTCCCCGGCTTCAGTGATCAGAGCTTCACAACAAGACAGCTGGCTTCCTGGGCCTGTCACCCGGGAGGCCAGGGGCAGGGGACCATCTCCGGAGGCCGAAGCTGGCCCCTGGGCGGGTGGCACTCACCTTTCTCCGATGCCGGGGCCAGGTCAATGAAGCTGCGACATTTCTCACCTTTGAAAAGAAAAGAAGGGTTTTCAGAATGTGACAGCACCCAGGGCTCAGGCCCCGTCTGTCCCCGTCCCTGAGCCCGGGAGCCAACAGCACCTCCAACCCAACCCCAGCTGCCACGGCCCCCGGCCCCGGTGGCCAGCAGCCCGCTGGGCCCGACCTCCTCCCCACCCAGGGGCCCCTCCTGGCCGCCCCCCCAAGCCGGGCGCCTCCCCGCTGGGCTCCCCCCGGCTGACCGCCCCAGCCACAGGCGCTCATGCGCACAAGTGGACAGTGTCCAGGAGGGAGGTCCGCAGTCGCCCCCCGCTCCCGGTGCCGATCGCCCCGCCCCCCGGGTCCCGCAGAATAGGCCGAAGGTCGCCGGGCCACCCAGGCTCCGGACACCCCCGTGGAGGGCCAGCCCCACTCAGCAGCAGTCACAAGGTTGGCACCTGGGTCCCCTGGATAGGGCTCGGGAGGCTCTGGTTTGCCACGGTCCCTGCCTCCCGCGGTGGCCTGGGCCATGAAGGTAAGGAGGCTCAGAGTAGCTGAGCCACCAGCCTGGGTCACACAGCAGACAGTGGTGCTGGGACTGTAACCAACCATATCAAGAAGTATTTGCTGACAACCAAGAACGAGAGGGAGAATTGAAACCAAAGAGGGGGAAAGGACGTGTTGTTTTTTATTTCAAATGAATTTAACCTTTCTTTAATATTTATTGTTCTCTCCAAAGCTATAGTGGGGTAAATTTGGTAAATAACCAAATTCAGACCAGAGCAGGGAAACACCTGGGGGATCTCGGGTCCTTTGGCCTTCAGGGACACTTTCCAACATAATAAAACTGAAATTAAAAATTGTATTTTACAATCACCTCAAAGTTTTGTTTTTGTTTTGTGTTTTCCTTCTGATTTTAAAAGAAATTAAAACATTTTCGTGGCCCGTGAAAGCTTTGGAGGCCCTCAGCTCTTGTCTCCTGGGCCTGAGGGAGACACAGGCTTTCCCGAGCCCGGTTCCTACTCCCACCCCGACTGGGCTCCTTAATCATATCTAGGATTTACGTGCTGAGCGCTTTGTCTTCTGTCATCCTCAGTGGTTTGTTTGAGGTGTGACTCATAAGCCATGCCCTTCATCCATTTACAGTGTACAATTCTAGCCGGGTGTGGGGAAGCATGCTGGTAATTCCAGCCACTTGGGAGGCTGAGGCAGAAGGATCGCAAGTTCGAGGCCAGCCTCAGCAACTTAGCAAGGTGTTGCCTCAAAATAAAAAATGGAATGTGCTGAGGATGTAACTCAGTGGTAAAGTGCCCTTGCGTTCAATCCACAATACAAAAAAAAAAAAAAAAAGTTTAAAGTAATAAAATAAAATGTACAACTCAATGGTTTTTCAGTGTATTCTTACTGTAGACACAAGATTGTGTGGCCATCACCACAATCAGTCTTAGATCATTTTCATCACACCCAAAAGAAAGCCCATACCTATTAGCAGTCAATCCTCATTTCCCCACCTCCCGGCCCTAGGCTACAGCTAATCTATTACTGTCTGGGCATTTCATACAAATGAAATCAGGCAAGCTGTGGTCTCTGGTGACTGGCTTCTTTCACTGAGTCTGTTTTCAAGGATGCCCATGCTATACCATGTCTCAGTACTTCATTTCTTTTCATGAAAAAATAATATTCCATTGTATGGATATATAGTGTCCCCTCTCCCCTACTCTGTGATTTTTCTTTCTGAGGTTTCCGTGACCTGTGGTCAACTGCAGTCTGAAAATAGTAAGTGGAAAATTCTAGAAACAAAAAATTCAGAGGTTTTAAACTGTATACTATTCCAAGTAGCATAATGACATCTCCTCCCTTCCCACTGTGTCCTGCCCAAGGCATGAATCATTCCTCTATGCCACGTGTCTGTGCTGTATATGCTACCTGCCCGTTAGTCACACTTTGGCCATTTTTTTAGATTGAGTTATCTTTTTATTATGAGTGGTAAGATTTCTTCATATATTCTGCATACACATTCCTTATTAGACATCTGATTTGCCAATATCTTATTCCTTTTGCAGGTTCTACTTTTTTTGATGATGTCATTTGAAGGGCAAAAGTTTTGAGTTTTAATGAAGCTCAGTTTAGATAAACTGGATTTTTGTTTCTTTTGGGTTTTTTATTGTTTTTATTTATTTATTTTGGTACCAGGGATTGAACCCAGGGGCACTTTGTCACTGAGCCACATCCCCAGCCCTTATTATTTTTTACTTTGAGACAGGGTGTCAGTAAGTTGTTAAGAGCCTCACTGAGTTGCTGAGGCCAACCTCAAACTTGCAATCCTCCTGCCTCAGCCTCCTGAGCTTCTGAAATTATGGTGCTGTTTATGCTTTGAATAGCATATCTAAGAAAGTTTTGCTTAACCCAAGATTATGAAAATTCACCTTTTTTTCTCAGTGTTTTGTAATTTTAACTCTTCCATTTATACCTGTTTCCCATTTAGAGTTGCTTTTGGGTGGAGCAGATAAGAGATCCTCATCTACGTGACATTCTGTCTTGCCAGATCGACCTGCTGAAGACAGACTATTCTTCCCCCACTGAGGGGGGGACACTCATTCTTGTACATTAAGTTTGTTATTAGCTGTGTTTTACTCTTGTCCTTTGCCGGGTTACATAATTTACCTTCTACTTGTTGAGTGGATTTATCAGGAACGGCTGTTCCCTCTTGCTTTAATCCCATAACAACCTGCAATGCACCCCAAGAATCCCCATCGTAGAGACAGACAGGCTGAGACTGTTACAGCTTGTACATGAAGTGTCTCCCAAAGACTCGTGATGTGTTGAAGGCTCGGTCCCCATCAGCAGTATTCAGAGGTGAGGCCCTTGGGAGGGGACTGGAGCCCCAAGGCTCTGACCTGTTGGTGGGTTAATCCACTGGGGGGACTCGCAATTTGAACGTCCCATTGGGAGGTGGTAGAAAGTTTAAGAGATGGGACCTCATAGGAGTGGGTCCTTGGGGGTGTGCCCTCGGGGACTATATCCTGTCCCTGGTCCATCTCTGTCTCTGTCCCCACCCCTACTTCCTGGTTGTCACGATCTCAGCAGCTTTATCCCTCTGTGCTCTCTGTCATGATGTCCTGTCTCACCTCAGGAGCAACGGAGCCACCGACCATGGACTGAACCCCTGAAACTGTGAACCCAAATAAATTTCTCCTCCTCTAAGTTGATTTTCCCGGGCATTTGGGTTATAGCAATGAAAAGCCCAGGCTCCAGACATCCAGACCAGACATCCAGCTAATGACAGAACAGGACACCCCCGGGTCCATACACCCCAAAATCCCTGCCCTAACCTATTCCCAGATATCCATTCCCATTGACTACGTCAGGACTTTCCACACGGGCCAGAAGGAATCCCTGGGGGCCCCACCTCCATGTGGGCAGGGAGATTCCCAAGGGGCTGAGTAACTGGCTCTCCCATTTCTATTTCTGCTGGACAAGGTCAGGAAGAAGCAGTCTGAGCCGATATGGTCCAGCAGCTCACGTGGTTGGTGTAAGGCAAAGCTGAATTTTAAGGCAAAATCATAGAACCTGAGGAAGACAGGCTGTTCCCACGGCCCAAAGTCTCACAGCTGAAATCCAAACACTAGAGATTTTTTTTTGCTCTGAATCCTTAGTCTCCATCCTAAAGATTAGCCAAGCATTAATGAGAAAGATATCGACCGGCCTGACGCTGACTTCACTGCTTTTAGAAATGACCTTAACACGTTGACACCATCGTGTCGACTGTTGTTAAACGGATGTGTTTCATCGAGGGGTTTATTTTGGTAGAAAACTGAAGACAAGTACATTTATCTCTCCGCCACTCACACTTCCTCTCAGGGCTTGACCAATAGGTCCCAGAGCTGTGGCCTGTCACCGCCACCTGATGGCAGCATACCTTCCTTGAACCGTGGACACCACAGATGGCCAGGCTGCCCAAGGTCAGCTAAGTGGAGTGGCCTGCCCTCGGGGGGGGGGGGGGCAGGTCCAAAAGAGTGGGATTCAGCTGGTCGAGGCCTAAACATCAGTGAGGTCCACAGGCCCCAGATGATGTCACCCACACCTGGGGTGAGAGTCACACTCCAATCCCACGAGACTTTGACTTACGAAAAAATTGAACCTTGAGTCGTTTTGGGGACGCTCACAGTCGTGCTAGAGGATCTGTCCCATGACAGCGATGGAGGGCGGGACAGCCCCAGGTCTGGGATCAACAGAGCTGAGTTCTAATGCCGGCTCTGCCACTTCCTGCCACAGTTGTCCCCGGCCTTCCCATGCCTTGAACTCTGTGCTGCTGAAAGGGGTGCAGCCCCCGGGGGTCCTGTGTGGGCCCAGCGTGGGCAAAGAGCTGGGCAGGGTGCTGAGGAGGTAGTGTCCTCGTCACCATCGCTGGCTCCCACAGGTGGGCTCCAGGGAACACGGGGCCCGTCCTCTGCTGTCTCGCGGGGAGAGAGACATGGACACTAGCACACGGTGGGGAGGGGCTGGGACACTGGTCCGGAGCAGGGACCCCAGAGCCAGGCCTGCTGAGTCAGCCCGGTCCTTCACTTAGAGATGGGTGACGTCATTCGTGGCTCAATGTCCCTACCTAAGAAAGCAAGAATCCCCGATGCTAGTGTTCCCCTAGCACATGCCACAGGGTGGGTGGGTCAGGAGGGGTTGGTGACAAACCCCAGGTAGTACAGCTGGGACAGGGCGGTGGGCGGAGTCCAGAGAGCCCAGCGACAGCTGCAGGGGCTAATGGGCTCCTCCATGGGCCAGCCCTGTGCTGCCCATTGTCACCCCCTGCCATGGATGTGGCCTGACACATGCCCTGATTTTTGACACACGCCTTGACTTCACTTCTTAAAAAGTGCCCCCTTCTCCTGGCCCCCTGCCCCCCTGACGTTCTAACAGAGAGAAAGCAAATGGGAGGTGCCACCTCCTCCCCAGGAAGGAGAGTCCCCAGAGGCCCCTATCATCTGCTCCAGGGAGGGGACAGCAGGGGCATTCATGCAGGTGGGAGGGGACCA